TAAGAATCAAAAGGCCATTGGTTGTAGATGGGTGTACAAACTCAAAATGGACACTAGCGGGAATATTGAAAGGTACAAAGCTTGACTAGTTGTAAAAGGGTATGCTCAGAAATCAGGCATCAACTTCAACGAAATATTTTCTCTTGTTGTTCGATTAAGTACTATTCGTATTCTTTTGAGTATGGCTGCAGTACTTGACTTGTTGCTGGAACAGTTAGATGTTAAAACTGCATTTTTGCATGGTAATCTTGAAGAAGAGATTTATATGACTCAACTTGAAGGCTTTGTCGAGGACAACAAAAAGGATCTTGTTTGTCAGTTGACCAAATCACTTTACGATCTAAAACAGGCACCAAGGTGTTGGTATAAGCGATTTGATTCCTTCATTGTGAGCTTGGGCTTTAGCAAATGTGAAGCAGATCCTTGTGCCTATACATACTTTGGTAATGATCACTTCATCATTTTGCTGTTATATGTTGATGACATGATAGTTGCAGGTACTGATAAAGGAAGTATCTCAACACTGAAAGCTCGTTTAGCTAGGGAGTTTGGCATGAAGGATTTAGGGGCGGTTAATCAGATTCTTGGGATGACGGTATATAGGGACAAAAGGAACAGAAAAGTCTGGGTAACTCAAAAGAGTTATGTTCAAAGGGTCTTGCGACGCTTCAACATGCAAGATTCCAAACCAGCCAGTATCCCACTTTCTGTTGGTTGCAAGTTGTCTTTAGAATAATCACTTAGCATTGAAGCTGAGAAGATAGAGATGTCCCACATACCATATTCATCAATAGTAAGGACCCTTATGTTTGCTATGGTGTGCACTAGATCAGACATTGCACAAGCAGTGGGAGCAGTCAGTAAGTTTATGGCAAATATAGGAAGAGATCATTGGACTGCGGTGAAGAGAATCCTTCGTTATTTGAAGGGTACTTCTAAAATCTCCATTTGTTATAGTGGCCAAAGCTTAAAACTAGTTGGTTATGTGGATGTAGACTATGCAGGAGATCGCGATAATAGAAAATCAACTACTGGTTATGTGCTTTCTTTAGCTAATGGTGCAGTGAGCTGGGCATCAAAATTGCAATTTGTAGTGGCATTATCTACAACAAAAGCAGAATATATGTCAGTTACACAAGCATGCAAAAAAAACATTTGGTTAAAGAGGTTGCTTGAAGAATTCAACATCAAGCGAAAAGTGGTGACTATTCACTGTGACAATCAAAGCGCATTACACTTAGCAAGAAATCTTGTTTTTCACAAACAGACTAAACACATTGGTGTATAGCACCACTTTGGTCATGAGGTAGTTGGAGATGGGTAGATCTCGTTGTAGAAGATCCACACTCACAACAACGTTGCTGATTTGCTGACAAAGCCGATGATGAGAGAGAAGTTTATCTGGTGTAGAACTTCTCTGGGACTTGAAACTACATAGCAAGAGATGATCGACAACTATTCTCGAGAGGGTTTTTCACTATGAAAATTGTCTTCAAGTGGAAGAATGTTGAAAAGCAAAAAAGGTGGGCCAGTTGGTGGCTCACCGAATTTGCAATCGGTGGCCCATCGAGCTGAGCCCACCATTTATTCAGTGGCACACCAATTATTCGATGGCACACCATTTGCAAACCACCGGTTATGCTTTGCTTAGCCATGAAGAAAATTTTCATAAATGCCCATTATATCCCTCAACTCAAGTATAAATAGGGGTCCCTCCTATGTTGTTTCTCATTCCATTCTCCATTTCATTTCAGTGTATAGTGTATACAGTGTATTGAGAGGAGTATTGAGTGTCTGATACGGGTGTGATTTCAGTGAGGTTATTTTGTATTTTCTCCTATTTGTAGTAAGAAGGAAGATCCGAGTTACTGCCCGTGGATGGAGGCAATTTGGCCGAATTACATAAATCTGATGTTTTCTTTTCTTTCTCTCTTTATTGCTATCTGCTTTTATTTGTTTTTGTACACGTTCAGATAACGTTATTTTCACTCTGCAATTCCAACACACATTATCAATTGCTAGTTAGTACGGTACTTATCAATAACTCGGGGGTCCTGAAACCCCTTATCAACCTTCTGGACAAGGGGTGCGTATATATTAACAATGAATAATGTCGCATCGACAATCTTCCATCTATTTATTATGGATGATAACAAGGTAAAAACAGTTGATGATGGGGTGATAAAGATGATCTTGAAGAAGATTACAGAAAGTATAGTGGTTGATGAGTTGTTGGACAATCCTTGTTAATATGCTTCCCAGCCATGAGAAAGCTGTGGATGAAATGGGTGATATTGGTGTTGTGCCATGCAAAATGGGTCATATCCTCTATTTCATTTGTATTAATCAAATCGGAGTAAAGGAGAATCTCAGGCTCTCATGCAGCATGCAAAAACTGGGTTTTCGAGGGTAAGAGAATGGCTAATGGCATCTTGGTCTTGGATGCAACAAATGACAACCACCTACCTAGCATATATTTTTTTAAGTGTTTTTTATTCTCGTAAGTGGTATCCTACATATCGATTTGCTTATTCAAATAAAGGATGTGTTGATTTGGTCAGTTCTCTACAGTTGTTAATTCCAATCAAATAGTGCTCCCTCTCTGTCTCACAGCTGGCAAGTTTTGTCATCAAACAGCAAGTGGGAAGTGGTTGACATTTGGCAAGCATCATCCTTAGAATACACAGTCATATAACTCTTAAATTAAAAATCTATAATTGTTCATCTCAGTAATCTATTAGAATATATGAAAATAAAAATGGCCACGTCATATGCCATCTTTGTGCATGGCCTAGTGCTGTCACAAATTGTCTAGGTTAATGACTTAATTCTTCTGTTATTAAATTTAATTATAATAATTTTCAAAATCTCAATAGAAAATCTATTGAACTTTAATAAATTAAATTTCTCTTATTTAACATTAAACTAGCATAATCTGATATTCAAAATGATGATGAAGGGATTCAAAGCAATATAATTATCACATCATTCATTCTGCAAGGTGCCAATTGAATGGTTGGTAAGGCGTCCTGGTGGTCGTAGATAGGGATGGGAATTTATTAATTTTTATAGAAAATCTATTAATTTAATTATATTATATTTAAAGTTTTCTCCATAGAATTAATGATGTGAGTTTATATTTTTTGCTCCACGGGGCTAGTCCATCGTCGAAACCCATAACTCATCCCACCCAAGTCTGCACTACAACTAAGAATGGCAATGGGGCAGGATCATATTCTTCATCTCCAAACTCAATTTTAAAACAAATTTTAGAGTTGGGGAGTCTAAATACATAGAGGAGATGGGAAAAATTGTCATCCCAAACTACAACCCGTAAGAGGCGTTACCAACCAGATGGTTGGCACCTTGTAATGAAGGGTGTGATAATCATTTATAAATATTAGATTTTCCGCACGGAACTGTTAGTTCTATTTAATTTATATTAATGACTGATGTAGAGATTGACAAATAAATAAAACCCTTAAGCCATTATAACTTTAGAATACAAGAATGGGGGGCTCCGAGACTTAAGAATTAAGATATCACAATCACAATTCACAAGACAAGACAACCTCTTAATCGTTAAGGCCTCAATAGAAGTTGGTGCTTGGTTTGGTTTGGCAGTAGTAGTTTTATTTTCCTTATATAAGTAAAGACTCAAGAGGAGGAAAGTGCGAGTAAGTTACTTTGCCTATACCCATCCACATCTACTGTAAATAAATAATGCATTTATTTGTGATGGCTTGAACAGATCAGTTCGCGGCCGCCAGAAAAAGAAGGAAATGCGTTATCATTTATGTCAGCACATGCTGGGTGGGCCAGGAACCACCCCTTCCCCTTTTTCTCTCTCTCTCTCTCTCAATGCTTAATTCCAATCCAATATACAAATATACAAGAATAGGATCTTTTTGGATTGGAACAGGTAATGAGATTTGGCTTCTTATTAGACGTCATTGGTTGACACTAGACAGAGTCAAATATTAATATTCGGATGGCAAAGCCGCTTCAAGGCACCGGCCAGTTATTACAATCTAAATTTTGGATGAGCTTATATCACATCGAAGGTGAAGCACCAAATTTTGGTCCTAATTAAAAAAATATGTATAGCTAAGAGATTTGTTGTGTGTGAATAAATTATCAATTATGTACGTTTAAAAAAATTTGAGGTAGGTTTCACTTTTTCTGGCACTATTTTATTGAACCAATTGTCATACATAGAAGAACAAATTTGAAAAGTAAAGTATCACTGACTTTCTATTATTGCAGTTTTAATGGTTGGAAGAACTTGGCCTCAAAAGCTCATGTCTTATTGATAAAGCAAATTTCATCCCGGATTAATCCCTTTTCCATGTTTTTCTGAACAAGCCATTTTTCTACATTTTCAAAAATAACGCCATTGCAAGTCGGAGTACGTGTCTAGCTAATTAAAATGATCTCCCATGTTTTGGATCCATCTCTCTGTAACTCAGTCTCAGTGTGCTCATGATTCATGAAATATGATTGTTGTCATTCTATGCTATCAAAAAAAAAAAAACAGCCCAAGGTACAAACAATATTCCTCTCTATTTAACCCAACTCGCTAGCTAGGAAATCTTCCTTCTTGGTTCTTATTAATTAATTTCTTTACCCAAAAAAGAGTTCTTATTAATTAGCAATTAATTTAGTTAGCTGAGTCACGATCTGCTGCATTTATCCTATTCCTGTGGGGTCTAATATCATGGTTGTTTACGCACATTAATCATGACCCACCATGTCTAATTGTTTATTATGCATATATGCCTTCCAAAAGTTTTTTTTTTTTTTTTGTGAGAGAATTGAAAGTCAGTAACCAGGAAAAAGAAAACGAAGACTCTAAATAAATAAAAGACAACCATCATGTATTCTATATAAATAAGATACACTCTACATAAAAGCATCAAACCATCTTCTACAGAAAATTAGTCCATTCTCCAACTTTTATACTCTTCACGCTTTACGGTTCACACACCAACATCCTCAACATGCCTCGTCGCCTCCAAAACTACTATTATTTTTCTCCACCACCGCCATCCCAGCCACCACCACCAACTAACAATTCTCCCCATCCTTCATGCCCTCCAAATGTGTTATCGCCGCCGTCGCCGCCACCACCACCACCACCACCACCACCAGCCAATAGTTCTCCATGCCCTCCCAATACATCACCACCACATCAAACCTTCACATCCCCACCCCCACCCCCTCCACCTCCACCTCCTAATGTTTCATCACCACCTCCACCACCACCCAAGGAGCAAATATCTCCTCCAGGACCATCATCACCACCTTCCCCACTACCTCCCAATGGCCCAACGTCTCCTCCAGGGCCAACACCGCCTTCTGGTCCACCTAATTTGCCTCCAAAGGCACCACCTCCCAATGAGCAAATATCTCCTCCAGGACCAGCATCACCACCTTCCCCATCACTACCTCCCAGTGGGCCAACACCTTCTCGTCCACCTCTTGTGCCTCCAAAGGCACCACCTCCTGTGACGCCACCTTCTCCTTCATATTATCCGCCGCCAACTGGTCCCTTGACGCCAACACCCAACACGTCATATTATCCACCACCACCACCACCGCTGACGCCGCAGCAGCCCCCACTTCCAACTGCACCTTCTCCTTTTCTTCCACCTTCACCGCCCACGAACGATCATACGGTTATCATTGCTGTCTGCGTCTCACTTGGTGGCCTCTTTTTTCTCGCATTCCTTGCACTCGGTCTTTTCTGCATTCATAAGAAGAAGAAAAAGATGGTTGCAGGAGCAGCGGCATGCCCACCTGCTGAGGGACATTCGGATGAGGCTCACGAGGCTGCTGCATCAGGAACTACTCACTATGGATAAGCTCAACTGGGATATGGTATTGCGTGAATTTTCATTTGTTCGTTTATGCCTTAGAGGCTAGAGTATAGGAGATTAGGACTGTTGTTTGTTCTACTATATATTGCTGTACCACCCCAAAGGATTCTGTACAGTGCGAAGTGTGAATGATGTGATGCAATTGGATTTTTTTTCTGATCAGATTTGATGAAATTAGAATTATTTGTAGATGTGAATTGCTTTGTAACGTTGATTAATTTCAGTTCATGTAGCAGAAAGTCTGGGAAGTTTGTAGCTAAATCCCCACTTGAATCCATCTTGGGCATACTTGGTAAATACGGACGATATAAATACAATAGGGGAAATGTTCATTATAATTGGAAATTAAGAATAAAATATTTACATATTTGTGTTTAACACGTCTAAATTTAGAAGGTACGAATCAAAAACAAATTTGATATATTTTATATGTAAATATGTGTATAATATATATATATATATATATATATATATATATACATGTAAAATGTAAATAGATTTTTAAATTTTTACAAATATATATATATATATAAAATAAAATTTTCCAAAATTTTTAATTGATCCCATATTTTTTAAAATCCAAATTATTCACTTAATATATGCTATGAAATTGATCCCATATTTTTTAGTTGAGGAATCTTTCTTTTGTTTTCTAAAATATGCCTATAATAACTATGAGATTGTGGGCAAGTGAGGTGGTCCATGCTATAGGCTATAGCTAAGTGGGCCTGTAATTCTTAGTGAATTATTAAGTGGCAATCCTTGAACCTTATATATAGAACAGTCAAAAAAGAGGGCTGAGAGCCTAACTAACCACTGATAAAGCTTTTCCATTTAAAATTAAAATTATAAAGCAATTCAATTGATAATTGGTCAAAGCCCGCCCCTCAGGTATCATGTCTTACGGGCAGCATAGTTTCTTCCTACAAATGAGCAGGCTGACAGCCGGACACTGACCTCTCCCTTCTTGACTATATGGCACATTGGCAGTTTGGCACCGTCTTCTTCTGTCCCATTCCCGACTGGATCACACGTATGGGCTTGTTGTGTGGTAAGGCCCGATTTTAATTTTATAATAAATCGAACGTGGCATGTATAACTTTATATATGCACTATTAATATACCATTCCAAAAGGCTTATCTATGATTTTGAGCCCGACTCTATACACATATTTGTGCATCTATCCTATTCCTATATATACTTAATAATATTCCAGTCTCTCAAGAACATTTTTGGACCAGAAGTAATTCTTCTCAGTTTGTACTTTTTTTTCTCGATACTTCGTTTAGACTGCATTAGGCACTTCTTCTTATTTTAAGAATTTTTCAAAAATTCATTTTTTTATAAAGACATTTTTACTGAAAAAAAGGAGATAAATCTTTAAAATAAATAATGTCAAATACATCCTTAAACTCGAAAAGAGAGTATTTATTACACGTCAACAGTACACTTAACGATTTGGAAAATTGCATCTGTTTATAAAAAACAATAAAATACAGAGAGAGTTGCATTTTTTTCTTAAAAAAAAAAAAAAGTGTGAGTTACATCTCAAGGCAATGAATGAAGTGGGCCAATTCGTTTGCTGAATTTGCGATGAATCCATATCAGCGAGACAATTTGAAGATGAGAGGTCAAAAACTTTGAAATATGAATATGATATCTTCCACCAGGGGGAGGGGGGCTAGCGGATGAAAACCAATTCAACCGAATGAAGAGGTTGGCCTTGCTGCCAAGCACTGAACGTATTCTGAAAGTGAAAGGGGCACCGCCAGGCGCCAGATGCAGCAATTATTAATAGATCTCCAGCTTCTTACTTCTTATAACCATCCACACCAGTCCTTAATAATTCAGCTAGCTACTAACTCTTATAATTTCTCTACCACGTATCTTGTCATCAGCCTCATTCAGCTTTGTCTACGGCTTCGTCTCTTCTTTTAACAAAAGGGCACGACTACACCTAGCATTACTAAATTAACCCTAACCTATAAATGGAAAAATTATTGCTTATTAGTTATACATGTATGATAATAAATAAATAAATTCAATAACAATTTGATTTTGCAATTTAGACTTGCATGTGATGGACAAGATCCCTCTGCCCTTACACCTCGATACAGCGTATGCCCGAGCTGATCGTTTCAAAACATTATTAAACTCAAAAGTAGGGGTAGAAACGAATCGAATTTTTATGAGTTATTTGAATTTGGTTTATCAAAAGATCGATTCGGTTTGGTTTAAATCGATCTTGAGTTCGACATATAGGCTTATTTGTTTATTAAGCCGAGCTTGAATTTAATAAAATTTAGTTCATCAGGCTTACAAATTTAATGCATGCATATATATATAGTAATTTTCATTATATGCATAATAATATTATATATATATATATATATATGATAATAAATTATTTTTATTTTTTATAAAAAAATTGATTTACAATCGAGTTTGAGCAGAACCAAGCTTAAACTTGTAAAGTTTTGAGCCGAATCAAATTCAAACTCAAGTTTCTAAATTGAATCAAGCTTAAGCTTAATCCACCCCTACTCAAAGAGAGAGTACTTTAATTTCATGCCATCATCATCCCCTCCATTTCCAATTGCGATGTTCCTCTTTGAACGACATTAATGCTATGCAAGATAGCCGGCGGTGATGACCAAAGTACCAAAACGCCAAATTAATGTTGATTGGTTGAACCGGTATCAAAAGTAATACCAATACCATATAACATGATATTTTACACAACTTTATAGTTAAGCTATGGAGTTGAGACGATCAATAACCAATATCATTCATAAAGGACAAGTTTCGTATGTTTTAAAATCCATTACACAACTGGACTTCCCATTTTATTCTCCTTTTTTTTTTGTTTTATCCAATTTACAAAGTAGTTTTTTTATTATTATTTTATTCTCCCTTTTGGGAATCTCTCCATGAGTTTAATTAATGTACAAGAACGATAGATATTCCTAATATGTGGCAGAATGATATCATTAGAATATTCACATGGTTTTTGCTTTCAAGAGATCCAGACTCATATCAAATAAGGCAAAACGTATCAGACCTTCCTGTTTCATTTCAGAAAGGAATCACACATGCATTATATTAAGAGTCGATAATTGACCATGAATCTGTCAGGTTCTATTCTAAGCCATGGAGATAGAGACCAAATAGGGACGGCAACAAGGTGGGTTGGATTTTGACAATCTTAACGCTCTTCACACATGAAAATGGAAAACCCTCCTTGACCCTACCCTTCTCACATTCAAGGGTAGGGTGGGTTGGGTTTAGAATCCGAATTTAATTTCCTATTATTTTTTATCATATATAAGCGATAAATAAGTAAAATAACACAAACAAATAGCAAAATTTTCAATTATTTGATTATAACGTGTAAAAAACACATACACTATCAATTATCCTACATATAAAATTTAATATATTATTAAATTAAACACTTAGGGGGTGTTCTTTTTTTGGATTTTGAGAGGGGGGGAAGTTGGTCAATGGGATTTTGGTTCCCATTGACCAAGAATCCCATGTTCTTTTTTTAGATTAATCTGGGGATCAGGGAAAGTTTATTTTCTTGGGTACTCCTAGGTGGGTAAATAACTTTCCCACTAGGGGGAAAAATTTCCAACACTTGAATGGGACACAAATGCCCCTTTTAATAATGAATTTTTATGGTTAAAATGGTGATTTCCTTTTTTACTTGGGAAATAAAAGAACATGGGTAAATACACTTACCTGTGTATGTGTTTCATAGGAAAAACTTACCCAGATAATTGCATTTACCTAGGTAAGTAACTTACCAAAAAGACCGTCGGCTTAGATCTCTTTGGACCGCCACCTTAGGTCTGTCGAAACATTACGTTCGCTTTTAGGTGCCGGTCTAGACTGCCGGCTTAGATATCTTTGGACCGTCGCCTTAGGTCCGTCGAAATATTGTCGGCTTTTAGGTGGCAGTCTAGACCACCGGCTTAGATCGCTTTTATGTCTAAGGCGGCGGTTGCATGACCGCCGGCTTTGTTTTTTTTTTAATTTTATATTTTTATATCAATTTGATTTCAACATTTTGTTTGTACCTGTTTAATGCAAATCTCATGGCAGATATCCGAAACAAATTGCTTAAATACAATATCCAATTAACATTAAAAAATACAAGGCATTTAAAAAAACTTCTTGAATAATGTAAACATCTTCCAATGCAAATCCTCTCCATGACCCCAGTTCTGTCTTCAGTACAAGGCATTTGCAGGAAAAAACTTCTGTCTTCAGTGTTCTTGGACAATCTAAATTCTTAGCACTGAGTCCTATGTCACTTTATACTTAATGTTCATCTCCTTGTCGATTTGATCACCTTCCAACTCCAACTGAACCTGAAAAAAGAGAAACTAGGTATTATAAATAAGTCATTGAGGCTTATTTTAAGCTTACAAAATGCTGAAAGTTGAATCTTGACAAAGGAATTAAAATTTAAACAAGATGGGTTGTTTCCTTTTGATGTTTCATGACCAAGGGACCATGCAGGTGGGATTAGGAAGATAGGTTTTGTTACTTCATGAGGAAAATAAATCATCAGTATGAACACTTTCAAGCAAATTGGCTGAAACATTTTGTTACAAAATTATCTTTCATGATCTTTATATTTGTCAGATATATGTGAGATTCCATGGTTCTAACTTGGAACTTTTAGTAAGATGTATATTCTTTCCTAGAGTACCATCATCAACTCCATCAACTATTACAAAATTAAACAGCATAAGAAAAGTCAGGATAAGCCTTACCATCCATAAACTGAGGATGTGAATACATAACGTAATTCTGACAAGCATACAGTCTATAGGATGGTTCTGGAGCACCATTTAAATGACTGATAGGCTTCCATGTATCTAGCATCAACATGTCAGCATGAGCACATAGGTTGAGGAGAAGTCTCTGTAATGGGCCCCTGTACAGGGGCTGCAAAAGCATATATGTATCAGAA